GGGATTCAGCACTCAATTTGGTGCGTTACACGGCGGTTTGTATGCCCCGGCTCGCCTTACCCGCTACATCCGCTACACACACCCTTCTCTCATCCTCTTCTCTCTTTCTCCGCCACCCTCTCGCACGTATTACCTACCCTCCGCACACACATACACGGTAACCCGCCCATATCCCGGATCGCCTCGTCTCTTGTTTCCACCCCGCTCATTCTCTTTCTCTCGCGAACGGAGACCACTGTACGCCGCTTACTCACTTTTACTCCGTCCTTTCTGTTCCCCCTCTCTTTCTCTTTCGCTCTTTCCCATCCTCCGTTCTCTCGATTCTCTCCTCGCTGTCCTCTCCATCTCTCTTCCTCTCCCTTTTTCTCTCCTTATCCTACATCAGCGTCTCTATTTCTCCGTCTTTCTCTTTTCCCCTTATAGTCGCCCTCTCTATCCCCAAGAGCAACCTCCCCCGCTTTGAGCCCTCCTCCCATCCCTCTCGCGCTGTCCCGAGAGGGAACACTTGCCGACGCTCCTGATGTTTCCACTGTCCGTCGCCCCCCTTCCGCTCCCTGCCGACGCAAACGGCGTCGTCACCACCACCGACGTCGCTCTCTCATCCCCCTCTTCAGCGACGCTACTTGGATCCGACCTACGTTTTTCATCCCCCTGCCCCTTTTCTCTTCCCTTCAAGTGGGAACGCAAGCGAAGGCGTCGTCGTCGTAGTCGTCGTCGTCGTCCCCTCGTTCGCATTTAAATTAGATTAGATAAGTTAATCAATGCGGTATTCAAAGTAAAACCCGGGATTTCGTGTCGGCCGGCATGAGCAAACTGGCGGATAGGGGGGGGGGGGAGGGAGGTAGGAATTATTGGCAGTTAGAAGCGCGATCGCTCGATCTCGCGTGGGGATCCGGATGAGGAAGGAAGGAGGCATGGAGGCAAACGGGAATTGGTCGACCGATGCGCGCTTTTACTTTTCCGCGTATCGAGCTGAGAGGGGCCGGGGAATCTCCCCGGCGCGCATTCGTCACGCTCGCTTATCGAAGTTTATAGCGAGCGATCGAGTCTCGTCGCGACGATGATAACTACGGCTGCGTGGATGATTCTCGTGGTTGAATTCATCGCGTCCTTTCAGGAGTGATCCGGTGGACGCCCCGGACGCCTCGGGGTGGCGTCGTCAGTCGTTGTTGAGATCGTTATTCTGGGGGATGTTGCGATTATTACAGATGTTTGATCGACCGGATAATTAAGACAAATAAAGAAATAATACACGCTTATTCGACGTAGGTATATAGGTATGTAGAAGGGTGCAAGGGGATATCACACGGTATTATACATAATAAAGTTTCATTTACTTGTTGGTAGCAGAACAAGTGTGGTTTTCTTGTCACACAGTATATATTTATATATTTATGTGGATTGTAATTAAGTAAACTCAGATAATATCTCTAACTGTTAGATAATAAAGATATGAGACGATACAAAATTCTGATTGCTGTGCCATCGAGCGTTAATTTATAAGAATTTAGATGCATAAAAATGGAGACTTACAGCGAACGAAGTTGGAATACGATCGCGGAATTTTTGATAAAGCTGGAAAGAAATCCGATTCATTTGGCCGATTGCCCTAACGCGACGCCCCTTTTAATCACCAAGAAATGTCTACTAAAAGCACTGGAGGCCACTCGAAAACATCGGGACGACCCGCAACTTTAATCTTTCCCCGCTGTTAGTGCTCTACGAGTGTCTGGATGTTCGTTCCGTTTAAAAGTCATATTTGTTTCATGAAAGGGAACGCGCCACGGGTGAAAACCGCACGCCGCCACCCCGATTTACGCATACGATTTTCCGAGAGACGAGGGCGCGACTCCCCTATCTTGAATTTCTTACACGCATGTGTTTGCCGCGGACTTACAGAGAATAATGCGAGTTATTCTTGTATCGTCAATCTTGCATCTCTTGTAACTAATCTGCGACCTAAAATTGATAAAGCTAACAGTCTTCTCGATTTAATTTAGTAAGATTCTGTGAAAAGCAATTATAAATTAGTTTCTTGATCAAATTTTTTAAATTTTATTGCAATTTACATAAAATTTTATAGGTTACTAATAGAAATACGATATTTACCCCTTTTATCTGATATTGCAACTATTCTAGATTCTCTCTCTCTCTCTCTTTTGTCTTTTCTTTAATTATAAAGTTTATAAGCAAGACCATGATTTGATTGTAGAATCGCGCTCTTCCGTTTTATCTAACTTGCGATGCAGGCTTTAAACGTGATATCCGTTTGATTAAACTGCAATTTAAAGTTTCTTCTATTAAAAAAGTACTTTATTATACTGTCGTAATTTTTAATCAAGGATAACACAGTATGTCATTATCAATTTTCCTTTTAATAATGTTTTTTAAAATCACATTACTGTTGCGATAAATTTTATCAAAAAACAACGCTTTACCTCGTTTAAAGTGACATTTTTAAATTGATTTCTCTAAATGAATTTCATTGAAAGCGTCCGCATGAATCACAAGCAGACTTACCTTTACGTAAAATCATGTATTTCTATGACAAAATCTCCGAAATCTCGCTCGCTCGCGTAACATTGTAAACATGCAATTATCAAAACGAGGATATCCGCTAATTTCCGAAATCAATTGTATTGTCAAATGGCAGACGAGTGAAATCCTTGCGGGGCGCACGTGCTCGCGTCAGATCTGCGCCCGCCTCTGAGAAATACCGGTGGCAGATTGCGTGAAGTTTATCCATTGCGGTGGAAGACAAATCGACGCAGGAGGAAAAGGACCCTCTTAGGTACATCGGTGGCTGACAAACTGACCAAAGCCATCCTCCCACGACCCTCTCGGCCGCCACATTATCGGAAGCCTGTGGACAGCGGGACCATTTATACTGTTAAAAGTCCGTCGAGAGCACGGGGCGAAGGGAGGGGGAGGAAGCGAGAGACCGGGAGACAAAAGAGGGGCCGAATCGGAATGAAATCGTTCTCCATTTGGAGGCAATACGAGTGCAGTTTATCGCGCGCTCGCGCAATGGCCGGCTTCCAAATCACCAGTAGCAATATTATTCATTGTGTGCTTCAGCGATATTTATTTTAACCCTTTGCAAACTTACAAGCAACTTAAACGAGCTCCCCGCGCGCATTAAAACTCCCTCGCAATATAGCATCTTCTTCCCTTATTTTTTTTATTTTACTTTTCACAAGAAAATTTCTTATTTGCTTTAACGCGCGCTTTACATATGTCAGCATGTAAAGTTATTTGATAGCATCGCGCTTACAATATATAGCAGAGGATACCGGCGTGAAGCCACGAAGGATAAGGTTTGTTTCGTGATACGGGAAACATAATGAAAAAGTTATTAATTTGAAAGACGCGATTCAAAAATATCGCTAGTGATCTACGTTCGTACAAATATATCGTTGACATCGCGTATCAACGAAACCGCGCTTCTCGCGCATCGTTTGAACAATTGACGCAAATGATGGCCATACAAATATAGTTAGGACCATTGTAAAATAACTTAACAAGGCCGTAAATGCCATGGGCGATTCGCTCGAGATAATCAGCGAGCAGAATGTATTCCAGCCAGTCCGCTTTAACCCGGCGCGGCAATATGGCTGAACGAAATGGAGTGGAATGCCTCTCTGCCCGGGTGCCGGATGGAGTGAGTACGGTCGGCGCAGTAGTTGGTGGGCTATAATAACGTATAAAGTAATTAAGGACATCGGGCGGCAACGGCGGCGGAGGCGGCGGAGGACGACAGCAGAGGACGACGAGGATCCTGGGACAGGGGGAGGGCAGGCAGGCAGGCAGGCAGGAAAACGGACAGGTTAGGGAATGCGACATTTACATAGTAATTAAATCGCGGGAGCAAGTGGGACCGTTGGGGGAGATACCGGTGCTCGAGCAATTACAGACGCATTAGATTGCGGTAAGCACTTGTTTATGGCCCGCCCTGCCTCTCCGCTCTCTTCGCTCTCCGCACTCGATTCTGTTCGGTCGTCCTATTGTTTAAAGCTGCTCTCTCTCTCTCTCTCTCTCTCTTTCTGCTCCTTTATCTCCTTTTCTCCTCTCGTTTTCTTTTTTTTTAAGCCACCCGCCACCGCGATGCACTAGTTTTGCACTTTATAGCGGAAACGCGCTCCGGCCGCTTCTCTTTCAAGTTTAAACTGAACGTGGATTTCCGGGGAGCGAGGAGGAACTTTGAGTATACGTTAGAATGGATTGTATCATAAAATTAAGAGTTATTGGCCTACAAAATTGGTCAGCAAGAATGAAATTGCTAATGTTTTACTCCGCAGAACTATTCACAATTATGAATCTTATGTTACGATTTAGATAATGATTTTCAACTATTTCTTTTTATTTATAGATATCGACTTTTGCAATTTTATATTTCTTTATTGATTCTCTTTAATATTTTTTTAAATATTCTGTATTAATAATGTATTATTATGCATATTAAATGAACATATATATAGAAACAAATTATTAATATAATTTTCACATCATAACGTAATAATATTCTTTATTTCATTGAAGATAATGACAAGTAATGACATCAATTTTGCTTCCTCATAGAGGAAGTGATGGTAAAAAAAACATTTTTCGAGATTTTAAAGAAAATAGATTTAGAATGTTCTAAAATGTCGAAAAATCATATTAGTAGAAAATGTCCAGAAGTGTGTGTGTGTGTGTGTGTGTGTTGTGTGCGTGTGTGTGTGTGCGTGTGCGTGCACGCGTGTATGTATGTGTGCATGCGCGCGCACGAATATATCCAGATAAAAATCGTGTGTATCACAAAAAAATACAAAGAATAAAATGAAAATTATAATCTGCAAAATGTATATTCTGAATTACGTATATCGTGAAAGTTCTCAGATCAACTTGGAACGCAACGCTTGAGGCGTTTATTAGTTTATTACCACCACCACCTCCACTCATCTCTATTATCGTGTATCTTTCCTCTAACACAAGAACGGTCAGTATTCATTACCCAACTGACTGCAATGAACGTAGCTACGATAACAAGTACTGCCTAGTCACTACGCATATCAGAGATTACGTAAGGTGCCAAACATTATTAGATGTAACATATAGTGACGCGAAATCGTGACGAGCTCACTAAATCAACATGAAGGTGTTGCTATCGGTTCTCCTCGCGATTTTGGTATGCGACCAAATCGCTAATGGTTACCGAATCCTCGGTGTGTTCCCGTTACAAGGCAAGAGTCATTGGATCATGCAAGAGGCACTGATGAAGGAATTGGCGAGACGCGGTCATCAGGTTGATGTGGTCACGCATTTTCCGCTGGAAAAGCCGATACCTAATTACACGGATATCAGCCTGAAGGGCAGTCTTCCACAAGTTACGAACAATATAACCGCGGTGGAATTAAAAGCAGGTTTGAGCACTCCGTCTATATCCAAATTCTTTGCGATAGCTGGAAGCGCCATTTGCGTGTTGTTGGACCACCCAAAAATACAAGAGCTGATTAAGAACCCACCGCAAGATCCCCCCTATGATATCGTCATACAAGAGGTATGTCCGATGTTTTCAAGTATATGTTCGATCATCCTTGCGTTGCATAAGAAAATTTCTACTATTTCGATTTAATTAAATATATTAATTATATCTGCGTGGCCATAAAGTTACATTTTTAATATAAATTATAAATTTTTTTGGTGACTTTTTATGTTGATTTTATCTTCGAAAAGATATTGAACTATCGATTATCTAGTATCCTATAAAATTTTGTAATTTTTTAATCTTTAGGGCCTTTATAATTAAATTTAAATTTCTTTTTGAGTAAAATTTATTTAATATTAATGCAGAATAAGATTTTTGTAATTATTTATATCTTTGAAGCTTAATCCGCGAGAAAAGCTTTCGGCGTTTTTTATAACACAAGCTATTAGTATAATTCGACACATTTTTGTTAAGGAAAAACTCATTATTTAACTAAAAAATTTAGGATTAAATATAATCTGCAAAAATCCAGTAGGATATTATGTATTCATAAAAAAAAGAAAAAACAAAAAGAATAATGATAATTTGTTTCTCCTCTCTACGAGTGATATCTCAAAGTAACATCGCGTCAAGGTCCAACTGTAACTTAACTGCATTATTAAATGATCATGATCCGCGGTGCACTCAATATCAAGCGAGTGATTATATATAAGATGTAATTTATTGAGCGCAAATAATTAATCAATCGATTGACAATATGTGCAGTTGTTCACGGCACCGTGTTATCTAGCCTTCGGCCGTCATCTCAAAGTTCCCATAGTCACCACGGTAGCCACCGTTTTCCATGACTGGCTCAACGAGGTGTCCGGCAATCCGATGAATCCTGCTTACATTCCGAGCTTCTTCTCGGAGTACGGCCAAAACATGAATTTCAAGGAACGTTTGACAAATTTCCTAATGACGCATTATCTCTCTTGGCAAATGCATTATTATATGAATACCTATCAATTAAAATTTGTAAAGGAGCACTTCGGCATGGATTTACCGCATATCAAGGATTTATATAGTGATGTAGCTTTGTATCTGGTCAATAGTCATCACTCGATAAACGGAATCAGACCGATGACCACTAACGTGATCGAGGTCGGCGGTCTGCATCTCAAGGACGATAATCCACCGTCACCGGTATGTTTCAGTGAGAATCACTTTTTCCATTATTCGTAGCGCGTTCTTTTTGGATACAATAAGTAGAATCGACATCTTTTTTATCGTAAATATAGTTTTATTTGTTTTCTCCTTTTGTTTAAGATCAAATAAAAATGAGAAAATAACTAATTAAATAAAATTAAAGAAAATTTAATGAAATTTGTTGATATAAAATTCATTATTTAAATAAACATGCAGAACGTGATATTAATAAAAAATTAGAACAAAATAACATTTATGTTTTACGTGCAAAGATATAAAATAGATTTTTATTAAAATAGTATTTGTTTCTAATATACGTGTTGATAATAACTAGACTGTTCACGTTTGCCACAAAATTTTCATTAAAAATGGGCACAAACGTTTGATATTTCATTGACATATTATGCGTATAACAATTATAAAACTATGACTACGTTTTCAGTGTATATTTAATAATTTTTTTTATAGATACTCTTCTTTTTTTCAAATACATCTCATATCATCTTGCAAGCAATATTTTTAAAATATGCTTGTTTCGAAATTCCATGCATTTAAAAATATGTTGTGCATGTGTATATCTCATGATAATCAGGAAGAATTACTTAACATCGTTATTTGGTCTAAGAATATGTATATAGAAATATGTATATAGGAAGTACAAAAATGGTTGGACGAGAGCAAGGATGGCTGCATCTACTTTACATTCGGTTCCATGATAAGGATCGAAACTTTTCCTAAAGAAATGATACAACAAATTTACGCGTCCTTCGAGAAGATTGCCCCGGTTCGCGTACTGATGAAGGTCGCGAAGAAAGAGGATCTGTTACCAGGTTTACCAAAGAACGTTATGACGCAATCGTGGTTCCCGCAGATCTCCGTTCTTAGTATGTAATTCTTGCCAGTTACTCTAATGTACTCACACATTAGAGTTATAGAGTGTCAAAGTAACGATCATAATTTCCGATAAAAATTCGTAAATTTTGTATATTGCAGTAATATTTGCATATTAAAAATTACGTACAGTCAAATTAAATTCCTAAAACATTGAACTAAATAAAAATCGAATAATTGGTTTTCTGTACGAAAAAATACTCCATCTTTTAATATTAGTTTCGTGCACTGTGCATTTGTTCAATTCCCAATCGTAATATTTTCACAATAAAGAAAAAGACAGTGTCACTATGAATTTCGCAGAGCATAGAAACATACGAGCTTTTATTACGCACGGCGGGACCTTTGGGACGCAAGAGGCAATCTATTGCGGAGTTCCTTTGATTGGTATCCCTATGTTTGGCGATCAACGCATCAACATTCAAAATTATGTCAACAAAAAGGTGGCTATTTCGCTTAATTCAGTAAACGAAGTCACCGAGGAAAAATTAACCTCGGCAATAAATAACATCCTGAAAGACCCCTCCTATCGGTAAGTCCTTAAAGACTATAAACATTGGAAAGTCATTGTACAATTGTCTGCTAATTGTAACGTGTTCATACTGTTCATCTGGGTTTAATGAAATCATAACATTGATCGAGAGAAACTGCAAACATAGAATGTACCTCTGCTGAATTTACATAAGATATTGCGTTTAGTAATGGCGATAATAACGTTATAATTCATATAACAACATTTTGTTATGAGAAACAATACTAAATGAAGTCAAATATAATATACGTACAATATATATTATACGTTTATTATATTTGACTTCATTTAGTATTTTTTCTAATAACAAAATATTATTTAACTAAAAAAAATGTTATTCTACTTAACGTTAACATAATAAAATTGTGCAACTAACAATCAGAATATTAAAAAGACTTGAAAAGTCGAAATTTACTGCTTTAAATCTTATTAGCCCATTTATTGATCCGCAACCGGACGAACCGGACCGTTCATATCGCGGAATAAACAGAGCATGTACTCTCTATTATATCCAAATCTTAATTGCTTTACTCTCCAATGCATATCGTGAGTCAATTCTAATCAATCGGAATGTGCTTTAAATTCCACATCCATTTTAACTGCACGAATCCACATGAAACACGTTTTACGCGTAAAGGTTCAATAATAAGGACAAACGCTTCAACCGGGCAGGACGAATAAAAAAAAGAAGAAAATTATAAAATTTATATAAAAATCGTGCACTTTTATAGCTACTAAAAAGTCAAAATTTTACGATCCAGCGTCAAACAAAAACGTGATATGATGAAAAATTTTGCTCATTGCAAATTTCCGAGTTTTGCCATAATATAATAGATTTTTGTCTATATATAAACATTAACCTCGCTATATTGATTGCTAACAAACTTTTTTCTCTTACTCGTTTCAGTGAGAATGTAAAAAAATTGTCGAAGAAATTCCTCGATCGACCGACGAGTGCCTTGAATACATCTGCATTTTGGGTGGAGTATATCGCAAAATACGGAAACATACTTCAATCACCGGCACTTAACCTCTATTGGTGGCAA